CTCACACACTGTCCTGGTCAGTATGTTCCTCTTCATAACGGCAAATTATCAAGGTCCACTTATAAAAGCCTCTTGTCTCACCTCTTAGTGAAGCTCTCTATACACAGCTTTCTAAGACTGTTCAACAGCACATCTTTTCACTGAAAGTAGGGGCTATTTCAAGCATCACCACACTTCAGGGTACCAAGAGGAGTGAAAAAGTGATTTTAGTGTCTAATGTGAGTTCACAAAACTCAGACTGTGGACACCAAACTTTGTTAAATTGTCTGTCCCTACTAAGATTTCGGTTCTTTTAGATCTGCTACTTCTTTTCAGGTGGGCTGCTATTAGATCTTCCCTTAGCAATGCCACAGACTAAACAAGCCCAACTCTCTGTCTCTCCTTTGTGGCCACATGCTTTCATCCCTAGTAGTCTTCATGACCTTCTGCTTATCTCTCTTCAGTTCCTCCACACCCCTGGGAGAGCCCCAAGACTGTCTCAAGCAGAATGAGAGAAAAACTTCTCATCCTGCTGGCTTTGTAGCAGTAGCTGGTTTATCTTATTTATAGTAAGAAGGTTTTGTTGGCTCACACTCAGTTTGACATCCCCTGTAACCCCTGTTTGGGGTCCTGTTTGGCAGTGCTGCCATTCAGCCACTCACTTCACAGCTGCTACTGGGACAAGGGCAGATTTCTTCCCAGATGCAGAACATTGAAATTCTTGTTGAGCTTCATGAGGTGTCTGTTGGCCCAGATTTTGTTATTAATTTCACCTAGATAATGTTATTAAATCAAGGTCATTTGTTAAATTCTCATACTGTTGTGATCAAAGCTCTATCATACTCAAATGGAAAAATTAGGAACTGAACTGGGCTGTGGAAAGCCACAATTAGTTTTTTTATAGCATTAGCTTTAAAGTATAAGCATGCTATTTCAAAATTATGTACATATTCTTCCATTAAGTTTTGTGTTTATGGTAAATTTAAATTTGCAGTCAGAATAGAAGTACAGAAAGTGAAAATATTGTCAGTTATTGATAATTAAATCAATGGACATGAACATATATCTAAAATGAAGCTGTACAAAAAAACTGATGGCAAATGAAGCATGGGATGGAGAACCTCTCATGTAAAAGGCTAAAATACATTCAAAGTTGCCAGAGCTCCAGCTCTATCCATTATACAAAACAGTTTGTTATGCAGACGTCTGAGCTTTGAGTTTCTTTCCCCTTCATTCTCTTTCCTACATTTCAGTATTTCTCCTTTTTTGTGTCTTTTTGGTTTGCTTCTTGTCTAAAAAGGGTGTTGATTAGGTAGTGAAGATGAATAAACCTATTGCAATATTCTTAGAAACACTGAAGGAGAGACAGCTTAGACAGCATGAGCTTGTAAATAATTTACAGATTTTGGAGTGGTTCATAAGACCATGTGCTGGAGGTGTAATTTCCCAGCAACAAAATTGCAAGCAAGCGAGGTCATCAAAAGGCAGAATCATATTTATTATTCTCTGTCTCTTCTTTCTGTCAGTTTAAATTATTTTCTCTTTAAAAGAGGGAGCACTGGACTCAGTTCTCTATGAACTTTCCCTCCTTTTTATTCTCCAGATGGAAAATACATTAATACAATTTTAAAAGATTGTCAAACAGAAATTTGCTGTAACAAATTATATACAGATCAGGGGAAAAAAGAATATAGGAAATGGTTTAAATATGCCTCACATTTTTCTTTCAAACTATTTAATTATTTTCCTCTATTTTATAAGAGTTTAATGAAAGGTTAGATAGATTATTTTAATTATAGTTTGTACAAAGGAAGAAGTCAGCAATAACTTGAAATAAAGCCATGGGGCATACTTAACAATTACGATATTTAATCTTATTCACTGAACTGCAGAAATCTCCTGATAAACACAAGAAAGCCAGATTTATGAGTCCAGAAAAGTGCAGGCTTGGAGGTAAATTGTGTTGGCTACGTATATTTTTAGAATACAATTATTTAAGAACAAGAGTGTTCACTGTCATATAGAAGCTCAGAAGGAAGTTCCAAGCTAAAGAAAGAAAAGTTTGAACTGATAGTTCTGGTAAGAGTAATTGGCCAGCATCACAGATTTTTAATGAATGTTCTTAAGACACCATTACTACAGACCTTCAAGGATGTAGAAGGTGTTACCAGCAATGCTGTGCCAAAGAACAGAGGAAAATACAGAGGGTCAGACTAGAGAAACTCAAACTGTCATTCCTGAGTCTGCTAATAAATAATTCTATGAAAGTAGGTTGCCTTTTCAAGCAATGATTCTTTCAAACAGTATGGTGATACCAGACCTTATTAAGTGACAGGAAAAAAATACTACCTTTAAATGAGGAATGTAGATTATGTTTGTTTTTTTTTTTTTTTAAAAGGCTCCTAACTCATTTTGAACTAACAAATAATAAATCAGACAGATTTTTACAGAGTACCCTTAATTCTCCTCTAGCTCTTCACAGCTACAGGCTAAGGACTGACAGAGTTGTTGTTGCTGGCACTTCCTGTAAAAAAGGGGAGAGCACTCTTTGCAAAATGAGTATAGTTTGTATGTCTTTGTCATCCAAGGAAAAGGAGAAAAATTGCATTGCATGTTAATAAGCCATAGAGTTAGATAAACTTAGATGCTCATTTTGTCAGTCATTATTTATTAAGTGTCTCAGGAAAAAAAAGTCAGTACCTGACCTGTACAAATTCAGATATGCAGGTTTTCTCTTTAATTCCTTAAAAATGTGCCTAGCTATTTTTTTTTTGTCTGAAAAAAAATTACCTGCAGAACAGAAAGAAGTCACTGCTTCTTTTTCTAAATTCCAAAGTAATGTATTATCCTTTCACATGTCCACTCATCTCAGGGGAAAGGCTGTGTTCTTCCTTGTGCAGGTCTGGGAATGATGTAGATTATATACCAATGTATTCTTGAAAGAGGAACTTATAAAATACCTTTGTTACATTGTCTACATTGAATTACTATAATGTTATAACAGTATGTATCTGAACAATTCACTGAAGTTTTCTTTATTGTGCTTCAAATCCAAGTAAAAATACTGCCCTCTTGCATGCACTTCTACAACTCCAGAAGGCTTCACATAAAAAGATAAGCAGAGTAGTAGAATCATAAAGACATAGAATCATGGAGGTTGGAAAAGACATCTGAGATCATCAAGTCCAACCATTAACCCAGCACTGCCAAGTCCACCACTAAACCATGTCCCTAAGTGCTACATCTACAGAATTTTAAATGTCTTCATGGATGATGTCTCAACCACTTCCCTGAGCAGGCCATTCCAATGCTTGATAACCCTTTTGGTGAAGAAATTTTCCCTAATATTCAATCCGAACCTGCCCTGGGACAACTTGAAGCCATTTCCTCTTGTCCTATTGCTTGTTACTTGGGAGACCAACTGTAAGCCTGCTAGGAGCCAGAGACACTGGCCTATCTGACTACAGTCTTTTTGGGAAGCTGGTAAAGCAGAGAGAGATGTTTTAGATGCCCTCATACCCAACAACATGACAGCCAGGGAGATGCCTCCTCAATTAATGGATTACTCTTTACCTGATGAAGGGTAGAGATGTTCCTGCCATTCCCCAAAGGCTTTGGTTCGAAAGGCAGTGCAGCCAGTATATCTGGTCTTACAGAGACCTGTACTCTAATTCTGACTCCATAGCTGTCAGTCTCTGTGGCTGGGAACAAATAATTTTGTATGTCTATCTACAACACAGTTGTTTGTCTGTCTGATCAAACAGCATTGTTTTTTACTGTGTGTTGGCACATGCTTAGTTATGATGAAAAGCAGATTTTGGCTGAGAAAAGTGACATAAAATCAAAATAATCCTAGATCTACAGAACTGACATCCATTTCTCAGATGGTGCATTTGTCTCTCAATTAGCAAGATTACACTATTTGTTTCTTCGCAGAAGCTGTCAGAACTATAGCTCATTGGTTTTTATTTTATCTAATTAAAATACCATTTGTTCTCACATGAAAAGCTATTATTACACTGGTAAAAGATATTTCACTGCTCTTTATCTTCATTCAAAGCTATTTCATTTCCCCAGTTTAGGACTAGGAGCATATATGTTTGAACCCTCAGTCCAAATAGCATGGCAATTGACAAAAATAAATGTATGAACCTTAACACTTAATTTGTATTTTCTTGCTTATCTTTGTTTCTAAAAATTCTTTCCTTTTAAGGCTTTTTTTCACCCTCTGTGTTAAAGAAGGAATTAAGGCAAAAAAGGAATTAAGTGCATTGCCCAAAGTCATCTCCTCAGTCTGACAAATTCAGGACTAGAAATCGGTTCTCTGGTCTTTGATATTTATGTGCATCTTAGTAAACCATATGGTATTCCTTCTGCTTTTCCTACCTCTTTACATAAGTAATTTTTGTAAAGTCACAGCTCTAATCATCTTTTTTCTTCTCCATCACTTCCTTTCTTTTTTTTTTTGTCACTCTGTTCTGACACTTCCTGCTTATTCTTTCTTATATATATATTTCAGTTTATGAAAAAGATGTAAAGAGGCAAAAGGTTCTGCAAGGTTTGAATAAGATCTTCAGCGTCAGGGTCTTTTGAATTCATTGAATATAACTCTTCCACTTGAATTTTACTGCATGTTCTGTCAGTAATATCTAAGTGCTTACATTCCTGCTTGATTTCCATACCATGCAAATGCTGCTTGCAGCTGCAGGAGTGACCACCCATGGCCCATGAGTGACAGCAATGGCTCCACGCTGTGCAGCAGGGCAGTTGCTGCTCATTTGCGTCACTCAGGTAGCAACTGAAATTGAGATACATGGCACAAAAGAAATTTTTATCTCATGGGAATTCTTTAGAAAGATACTTCAATGTGATAAACATTTAATGCCTTAATATTTGGTTGAAAGTGCAAAGTCACACGTTAAACTGTCAGAGTCACATACATGTTGTGTACGGTCTCATGAACACGAGTTGACTGGACCAGATTGGATGGTATTCATTTCTTGTCTTTCACTTTCTTCCAGGAATGCCCCAGTGGTGTTGTCAATGAAGAAACCTTCAAAGAGATTTACTCTCAGTTCTTTCCACAGGGAGGTGAGTACTTGGCAGACATAATTAATACTACAGTATATTTGGTAGTTCCTAAGTCTGACAAAAGAGCCTGTTCAAATTAACAAGGTTGTTGCCTCAAGCTCTATCTGAACTCATGGCATACTTCCTTGATGGCTGGACACATTTTAAAGTATATATTTCTGAATGAAATGCAATGATATCTACAAGAAGTCAGTCTTCTGTTATGAAGTTACTATCTGTGATTGGGTACCGTTGAAAACAAAGTTTCTCTGAGTAGGTTATTTATTTTTAAACTTTCTAAACAGTCTTCTCCGTTCTCTTTTATTCCAAAAAAAACCTTTTTACAGTAGGAGGAACCGTAGGGGGCACTACAGGTTCCCCCTAATATCAATGGCAGAACCCCCTTTAATGCTATGGAGTTTCCCCTCTTAAATAAGGGCTTTTTTTGCTAACCTTGATTTCAATTGATTTCCAGGGGCTTCATAATTTCTTTATCTCCACTATCTTTTGGTGCAATGAAGGTAACACAAAAATAAGGAAGCTACACTTTTCTGTGGAAAAAAACCCAACAAACCAACAAACCACAAACTTTTTTCTTCTTTCACATTTCATTTTAACAAAATACAGCAAAAAGTCAGATTTTTAGCAGTGTAGAAAAGTACTGAATCCAGATAATTCAGTCATCTGTAACAGATGTTGTGTACTAGTGAGAGGATTTTTGGCTTTCTTAATAAAGCTGTTTCAGACACCTCAGCAAAGAGCACGGAGAAGTGACCATCACAATTCATCCCCTTCCTCCCCTCATCCTCCATGGCCTTCACGCAGTGGCATACGGCCTTGGCAGTACATAAACACAGCACAAACAAATGTGAAAGCCTTATTTAGTTTTCCTCAGAAGTTCAGGAGGAATATTTGGTGAAAACGGCAGAAGAGCTGAATGTCCTTGGAAGAGTAACAGCTCACATCAATATTACTTTAATTTCTATGGGCCTACTGAGTCTTGAACCGTTTTATGTAGGTTTTGTGCTGTTTTGTAAGGTGCCTGTGTTAACTTTTGCCTTTTCTGAGAAGTATAGGAGTTCAAGTCTATTCTTTGTTCCTCACATTAGCCAAAATATTCTCAAAGCCCAATTAATTCTCAGTATTTGTATATCCCTGCATTTTAATGGAGTGAGATCATAATATATAGGTGTCTAGTTAAGCAGCCAGACTGGATTCTTAAATTTTTGAATTTATTGCCAAAATACTGTGTCCACCTGAGGCCTTTAAATTTCAGTTTATTTGTGCTAAATATAATGGTTTTATCTATGTCTGAATATTAAAGAGGAAAAAAAAAGCTTGAAAGTTGTCCCCAAATTAAAACACATGTAATTCCGGGCTCCAGTTATCTATGTAATGCAAAACCAGGTACAACATGATGAATCATTATAATAGTTCATATCTGAGCAAACAGAATGTAAGATTTTAAGCTTCAGGGCAACCAAAGTAATTTTTAAATATTAACCAGCAAGTCACTTCATTAGGCAACTTTCAAGACTGTTCAGGACAAGGTACAGGAGGACTATAAACAGGACAAGGGGCCAGAAGAGTAACAAAGGATATGACACTGGATTGCAGTAAAACCAATGTGTTTTAAAGGCAGAAGTTAATTTGTAAAAAGCTTTCCATGCCAGAAAGGGCACTCCAGTAACTTTTTTTTAGAAAACCACTGCCATACAAGTGAATGAATAGGCCCTCTCAGTGCATGCAATGGATCACCTGAAATATAACTTGGGATTTTTCCTCAGCCAGGCAGGTTGTAGATAAGAATCCACACTCTGGATAATTATTACACTCCTCCATCACTTATGAACAAAACAGATCATGCTCATAGTTTGATAAGCCTGATAGTTTGATATTCTTCGATGTATAATGACTATCATTTTTTCTCTCTGATGTTTAAAATGCTTTGATGGTGTTTTTCAAAGGAATTCTAATATTAAATTATAATTGACCTGTCTTAACCTGTCAAAGTAGCGATTTATCCTCCTGATTATGATATCAGATCCCTGAAAAAAAAAAAATTTAATTTAAAAACTTAAAATTTTGTCAAACATGATTAATGTTCAAGATTTAGGAGGGTAGATGCAGAGGGAATTAGATTAAGTAGCTCTAATTAAAAGACTAGTGTACCTTATCCTGCTGTGGTTTTGAAGGCAAAATTTCAGACCAGAACTGCTTGAACAAACAACTCTGAAAAAGGCTTTTAATTTAATTTTTTTTCAGAGAGCCTATCAGAAAGAAAAGGTTCTTTAACTAGGGACTTTTTTTTTGTCCATATACCACCAAAAAAATTAGTATATTGTATCATGTATGGGCAACAAACAAAATATCTTTATGTTCACCCTTGTGTTTTCCATATATCTACAAAAATAATTGGAAATATTTCAGATATTTTTTAGAAATTAATGCCAAGAGAATGGAAAGCTATTTTAAATTCAGTTTACAGTAATTATACCTCTATTATATGTTTTTTCCCTGAAGATGATTTACACAGTATATTCTGTTGCACAACAGAAGTCTCAGTAGATTATAGAAAATATGACTATTAAAATCTTAAATATAATTGAAGTCAACTAATTTACATTTTTCAGTTAAAGTGTGAATTTATCTGCTAGTCCGTGCTTAAGCAATTACACTGGTGACTGGATACATGGAAGAATGAATAACTACTTCAGTAGTGTGGATTTTTTTAATACTCTGAAAATGCATTAACAGACATAAGGTTTAAAGGTTGCATGTTTTCTTGTTGTGATTATTTCACATCATATGAAATTAACATGTTGAAGTAAGACCAGAGACTTTTTTTACAAATGCCAGGCCTGAATATGTGAAGAATAAAGTTTTGAGTTTTGGTATATTTGGTTCTTTGGAGTCAAGGTGGCATTTCAGGTGAGTGACTCAAGACTGACACTCAGTTTAATACAAAACAATATTTTGGGCCGTGACAAATAAAGGTTTGCAGGATTGATACAAAAGGTAAAATGGTTTAGTGCCAAGAAATCAGAAAAAAAGCATCTCAGCACTGGTGAGGTTTTTCCATGATAGGGAGAGGTTTATTCTTCACAGGGGACACTGATTTCGTAACACTTCTCCCTTTATTACAGGCTTGTGAGATTAATGTTAATTAACCTAAACTTATTGCAAAGATATGAAGTAGAAAGAGCAAAGATATGAGTATTAAAAGTAAACAAAGCCTCATCCTACATTAATTTGCATGGTTTTGAGGGAGAGAAAAGTCACTGAGGAAAGCTGACTTTCCACAACCCCAGCAGCTTGTACCTCACATGCACAGGGCAGTGTGAGATAAGAAGACATAAGTTCTCTCTTCACAATATATTACTCCTGGAGCAGGTCGTGCCTCTCAGAAGGCATCCAGTGGAAATAGAAAGATGAATCTTTATAATAAATTAGTCTTAACAGACTTATATTGATGCTGTCTTGTGTTTCTAAAATGAATCAATGTGCACTGGGGAGTAGGTTTGAAAAGTATACAAATAATCAGTGAAGGGATTGTTTGTTTAAGGTCATCTTTCAGAGTCTTACTGACCATTTAGTCAGTCACAGCCAGTTTTCCCAAGGTTTTCAAGCACTTAGCCCTCATGCAACAATAATGGGAGTTAAGTAGCAAACCACCTTTAAGAATCTGCTTCCCAGGAGAGGATTTTCTCTCACCCATGGGTGAGCATATGACCCAACCACAGCAGCATCTTTCTGACAAGATCAGCTTCAACCTGGGAAACAGGTCTGTCTCCAGAGTGAAACCAGTATACCAGAGGCACCAATGGTAGTGTCTGCTTCCCTCATTTAGAGTGAACAAATGAACACATTTTTCATTTTAAATATATGAGATAAATCCCTCATCACCATCATTTAGCATTCCCATTAACACAGGTTGTTTCAGAGTACAATAACATGTCATCTTTTCTATTTGCTCAGGTATCAGTGATTAGCAAAAATGAGAATAAAACAAAATAGAGATATTCTAGAAGAAAATTTTGGATTTTCAGTTCTTAGCAGTGCTTCTATCCATGTACTTGCACTTATAATTTATCCCTCTTCCTCTGACAAAAAGGAAGTTTAAACTTAATTGAAAATTCAGTCTTGCTATGAAATTTTGGTAACAAAGTATATCTTGGTCTCATATAGTTTTAATAGAATGAAATTACATTAAATAATATGTGTTTACTGTGAATTATTTTTGCTTTAAATTTTTTGTTTTAAATCTTAGATTCCACAACGTATGCACATTTTCTGTTTAATGCATTTGACACTGATCACAATGGATCTGTAAGTTTTGAGGTAAGTGATGCTGTTGCTTCTTTTTCTGAAACTATTTTGCCATTCCTTGTATTTAAGTCCAGTATGGTGGCCTTTATTATATGGCTTTAATTATGAAAAATTTAGCTTATGTGACTCAAGTTTCAAGTTTTTCCAATGTAATAACAAAAGTCATTATTGTACAATTGTATATTCCATACCGGTAACTCAGACTGTGCTACTATGTAATATTTTTATAAATCTGCTCATTTAAAAGGTGACTCAATTTATACGCAAGTTACCCAAAATAGTCATTATCTTCCTCTCTGCTTCTGCAAGGTAAGAAGGTCTCTGAACTACAACTAATGTTATGGAGATGACTCAGACAAAATAGGATGGCTCATAAACTCTATTAGTTTCCAGAAAGGACTAGAAAAAGGCTTTAAAGAAAATGTTTTTAAAAGCATGAGAGTTTCAAATTCATCCTTCCTCCATTTAGCTGCCCAGTCCCAGTTCTGCCTTTCCCTGGTAAGACTGATGTCATCAACACAATAACATGGTAAAAAGGGACCTCACTGCAATAGTGTAGATGAGAACAGTCTATATAAAATACTGCAAAGGATATATTATTTTAAGCTGTAAAATTTAAAAAAAAAAAAAAGCTAATTTGCAAAAGGATATATTTACTTTGGTTTGTTTTGCTTTGATTTGTTGTGGTTATAATGAATGGATGATTTCCTTACTTGTGATTGGACTGTGATAAATACACCCACTTTAAATTTATTGAAATGGCCCCTACATGTTTTTATGATTTTCTTTAGTGAATGATTTTGTGAGGTCGGAAAGATTTTTTTTTAAGCATTTTCATTGCTTTATTATTGATGCAATAGAAGAAGACTCGTCAAGCAGGTGCACTGTGATCAGAAATCTATACCTCAACTGAGACTATAACCAGATAATTTTGTGGGGGATTATTTGCATTTATTTAAAAAAACCCCAACAAATACGAACCCCATCTACCTTTTTCTGGGCAGCTGAAATCAGTGGGCTCTATGTGAAACTAGAAGCAAGAATGGAGGTTTTATTCATATCTTCTGTACATAGGCTAATTCTACAGGAAATCCTTCTGGTCAAATCACAGAATCATACAATGGTTTTAGTTCAAAGGGACCTTAAAGATCCTCTAGTTTCAACACACCTGCCATGGGCAGGGACACCTCCCACTGGACCAGGTTGCTCAATGCCCCATCCAGACTGGCCTTGAACACTTCCAGGGATAGAGCATCCACAGCTTCTCTGGGCAACCTGTTTCAGTGCCTCACCATCCCCACAGTGAAGAACTTCTTTTCTATATCTAACCTAAATTTCTCCTCTTTCAGTTTCAGGAACAGCTGAGGCAATGAGAAAAGGCATTTTTAGAATCAGTAGCTAAAAAGTGTTTCTCCTGTTATAATGGGAACAAAAGAAGCTTTTGTACCTTTCCTGGTCAATTTGTTGCCATTTGTATCTCAGACAGAAAGCCCTAGGAAATGCACTAGATTTAAAACCCCTTTTAAAGGTTTTGATTACCTCACAGGGCAGGTCTGTGCACAAAAAAAAAAAAAAAAAAAAAAAGGCTTTGGAATAAAATAAATCAGAGAAATATAAGCAGCACTGTTTTTTTTTTTATTACTAAAACATATTTCCAACTTATCAGGTCAGACGTGAGTGATCCAGACTTTCATATTATTTTCACTAATTGCGAATCCAACATAATTCTGCTGCTGTCCAAAGACTCTTCCTTCTGTGTCCTTGTAGCAACATTATACTAACAAACTGTATGATAGCCATTCCAAAAGCATCCTCCTGAAGTTAATGTATGGGGTTTTTTTCAAATCTCATTAAAGGTAGCTTCAAAATGTGAATGTAGATATCATGAAATGTGAAAAATACAATAATCTCATTTTTTTTTCCTGCTCCTTTTTATCCTAGGTGCAACTGTGCCATATTCTTTCTATTCCATCTGTATTCTAGTTTTCTAATTTCCATTAGAAAAACAACAAAAGTAAACAGTTCAAAAGGTAGAGAGGGAGTGATTTAAAAGTTTGGAGAACAAATAATCCTTCTTTCCAGTTTACTTTCTATAGCAAAGTGTAGGAGTAAATACAACTCAATATAATGACCTATGATGAAAAACACTGGCTATCTTCTGTGTAAAAAGGATATGAAAATCTGAAATTTCATAGCAAAATTATTTTGTAGGTAAGAATGACATTTGTTTTGTGTTGCACTCTCCATTTTCTGATGAAGCAGTGGTAGCTGGAGTTGCGGGTAAAAGGAGAATTTGTTCTAGCTTTTTGCTCTTTTTTCCTCAAATTTTCAACCATCAACAGTGAAGTGTTAAAATTTAGCACAACTTAAATGCACACCTCAATTAGATGAGATAGCTTGGTGAGATTGTTATGGCCTTAGAGTTTTGTCAGCCCTGAATCTGTATGCTCTCTGATAAGAGTCAGGATCTCTAAGTGAAGTATTTTATGTAGCATAAAAAAGCAAACTCATTAAATAGGTACTTGAACTTATTTCTCCTTATCCCATGACTGCATCAGTTTTGAGACGAGCTTATTTCATTAGTTATGCCAACTAGTTTTGCTTTAACATGAGAGACAGAGTTTCTGAAGGCCTAGTGACCCAGAAGGGCTCTTTGGACATATTATGAAATGAAGTTCTTTTTTCCATCAGACAGAGACAGATGTGAAAGCAAAGTTTCCATTTGCTGCATATATATTGTCACAGAATGAAAATGAAGATCTGGGCCTTAAGGCTATTTACACTGTCAGGAAAAGGGAAGCTAATTAACTTTAAACATATTGTCAAAGGTAAAGCACATTGCACCCACATACAACCATCCAAACAGTATCCTTTGTTTGTGCAGATTAATGCTATTCTAAATATGACTTTGCTGAAAGTCACTCAATAATTCCACTACTTCTCAATGCCTTAAAGCACAAAACTGTGCCCAAACACAATGGAGATGTTTAAAGATTTTTGTCATATTTAATCAAAACCAAACTTGTGTTTGTTTTTTTCAAACAATTATTAATATTGCTTAGCAAAGTTGTTGCTGATTTTCTGATTGCATTATTTCTCAATTGTTACCTGAGAATTTTTCATCAGGGCCATGGGTTGACCCTGGCCATATTCTAGGCACCCACTAAAATCACTAAGAGCTGGGAGAAGTCACACAGGCAAAACAAAACTCAATGTGAGGATGGTACTAAAATTTATTACTAACAGGAAAAGAGCTAAAGAGTGAGAAATAAAAGTCTTAAACACACTTTCCAACCACCCCTCCTTTCTTCCATGTTCTCCCTCCTCCCCCTGCATCAGTGCAGAAAAAGAAGTCCACCCATAGGGCAACAGGTCTTCCAAGTCTGCTGTCCTGTGGGTCACCCTTCAGTGGACTGCAGGGGGACAGCCTGCTTCACCATAGTCTTCACCACGGGCTACAGGGGAGCCAAAGCTCTGAGTCCTTCCCCTGTTCCATGGGGTCCCTCCCATGGGAAACAGTCCTTGATGGACCTCTCCAACGTGGGTCCACACCCCCCCGGGCCGCAGGTCTTCCATATCTGCCGTTCCGAAGGTCATTCCTCCATGGGGTGCAGGGGGTCTCTGCACCCCGATGGTATTTCATAGGATGCAGTCTTTAACAGATGAGTTGCACCGATGTGGGTCCCCCACAAGGCCATGAATTGAGTCCTACCTGGGAATAACCAGCTCTGGTGTGGGCTCCTCTCTCCATGGCCCGAGCCAGCTCAGCTCCAGTGCCATGCCTGCCTTGGGCCAGGGCTGCGGGGCTCAGCCCCGAGCCCAGAGGCTTCTGTCGGCAACTCCCCCAGCTCCAATCTCTTCTGCGCAACAAACATTTTCTTAAATATGTTATCACAGAGGTGCAACAATTGGCTCTCCCTTGCCCAACAGCAGGAAGTCCCTCCTGTAGTCAGCTATCATTGGCTCCACAGGGGGAAAACTTCTAGCAGCTTCTAACAGAAATCACCCCATGTAGCCCTCTGCTACCAAAAAAAAAAAAAACCAGCCACAGAAACCCACAACAATCAGTTAATAAACTAGCAAGCATGCTAACTCAGTTCCATAGAGGAGTACAGTTCTTAAGATCAAACACAACTTTGATATTTCATTAATAATAAAAGTGATTTCCAAGACAGTAATATAAGGGCAGTAGTTTAACGAATCATAGAATCATAGAGTGTCTTGGATTTGAAGGGACCCTAAAGATCATCTAGTTCCAACCAGCCTGCCACAGGCAGGGGTACTTTCCACTAGACCAGGTTGCTCAGTGCCTTGTTCAACCTGGCCTTGAACACTTCCAGGGATGGGGCATCCACAGCTTCTCTGGGCAACCTGTTCCAGTGCCTCACCATCCTTACAGTGAAGAGTTTCTTCCTAATATCTAATCTAAACCTACTCTCTGTCAGTTTAAAGCCATTTCCCCTTGTCCTATCAATACATGTCCTTGTGTAAAGTCCTTCTCCAGCTCTCTTGTACCCCTCTTTAGGTACTTGGAGGCTGCTATAAGGTGTCCCTGGAGTTTTCTCCAGGCTGAACGAGTCCTACTCCCTCAGCCTGTCTTCATAGCAGAGGTACTCCAGTCCTTTGATCAGCTTTGTGGCTCTTCTCTTGTCTTGTTTCAGCAGGTCCATGTCCTTGGGCTCCAGAGCTGGATGCAGTACTCCAGGTGGGGTCTTGTGAGAGCAGACGGGCAGAATCGCCTCCCTCGATCTGCTGGTCATGCTGCTTTTGATGCAGCCGAGGACACAGTTGTCTCTCTGGGCTGTCAGTGCACATTGCCAGGTCATGTTGAGCTTCTTGTCAACCAACACTCCCAAGTCCTTCTCCTCTGGGCTGCTCTTGATCCGTTTTCTGGCCAGCCTGTATTTGGGCTTCAGATTGCCCTGACCCAGGTGCAGGACCTTGAACTTGGCCTTGTTGAAATTCATGAGGCTAACAAGCAGGATTCTCTGGGTTCAACACAAAAAACTTTGTTCATGTTATGTAGGAAATGAGCTAATTTTTCTCAGGGCAGTGGTGATCTCATAAGCATTTTACCACCAGCTGATTTAAAGTCACTACAAAGAAATAATACATTTCCTCTTAACAGCAGCTCCTCCTCTGTGACCTTTGTTTTACACACATCAGGGCTCCACCACTTCTGTGACATCACTTAATTCCTTTTCAAAATCCTAAAATCTAAATTAAAAAATTGATTTAGGTTCCTGCCTACCTACTTCTCCTGGCCTTGAACAAGACATAAGGGAATACAAGATCAAGTGGAATAATTTTAAGCTTTCCTATGGATTTGAGATAGCACACTAAGAAACTTGTCAATTAATTTATTAATGATCTTATTATCCCTAAAGATTTACTGAGGGATAAAGCAATCAGTCCTCAACAACATTGCTATGAGATAATTAATCACTGCTAAAAATTATGAAATTGTGGGGTTACACAAATACAAGTTCATCCCAGATCACAACTAGAGGTTCTATACAGCTGCAGCACAGAACAGAAACACAAGCAGGCTGTGATACTGAGCACACAGAGGCTCCATTACGGGAGCAATGATGTTCCATTTTGCAACCCTTCAGTGAGACATCCCACTTTCTTGCAGAATCAAAATTAGGCACAGAAGGAAGTCTTAACAGGTATTAGCATGTTCTGCAGGAAACTAGCAAGTTACAAATAGGAAGCTGTGGAAAGGAGTAAAGGCAAGTACCAAGGCAAGACTTCTGTGCTTCTAACTTCGCTGTCACAGACTGAAGAGAGACCCAACCTAGAGTCATGTCTCAGCCCAGACTTTTGTAGTTTTAGGCTTGTCACCCTAGATCAGATGCAATTCTCCTCATTAGGTGCTCAGCTGAGCAGGACTCGGTGGACAGTGACAGCATCCTCAGAGGATGTAAGTGAATTTTACTAAAAAAATAAACAGGCTCTAAAAGGAGAATTCCTCTCTCTCCAGAAATTAGATGTCTAAACTAGGAAGAAAAACACATCTGGGTACTCTACTATTGTAATGGGGACTTGCATTCATGCTCTGTGCTAAATGGTGTGCCTGATTCATGCATCAAGGAGTTGCTGGTAACAAACATATAGATGGATAGATGCTCTCTGAGTTCAGCTGCTACCTTCAGCACTGTTGTTTTCCTATGGCAGTCTGCAATGGATTATTACATGAACAGCCAACATAGCTATACTGTTCCTGGCACATTGCCTTCCACTATGAAGAGCATTTTCCCCTTCAAGGGCCTATATCTATTGAATCAGACATTCTATTTCTGTATGATTTTATTGCTGTGTTCTTCAATTGCATGAAAGTAAGTATGTAGAAAAGATGTCCCATCCTAGCTGGTCCTTATCCAGCTCATCACAACTTCCTATTATGATAAATCCTTTCTGTTTTTCCTGAGATGGACTCTTGCACAACACTCAGACAAAGGCAATGCACCTGAACTATGTACTTGAACTGTCCCAAAACATCTTGATGTAAATATGGAAGGAGATGACTCGCTCTTGCAATGTTTAAAGCACATACCTGGAGGGTTTTTGAGTTGTCTCAGTCCCATGAAAAAGCATAAAGTCAAATTTTATTTATGTGTCATTTTTAAAACCGACGATAGAAGGGTAGCCTTGGAAATGGGGATATAAATGATGCCAGGAAGCCAGCTAACATGGGTGGTGCACCACAGAAAAGAAGAAAGAGAATTTACAAGAAAAGAAAAATGGATATAGTTTAGATAAAACAAATTCAAAAATGTTGCAGTGCCAAAATAAAAATGAATTCAGAATTCTTAAATATAATAATTTAAGAAAATAACGTTACTGGAAACCTTCAGGAAGGACTTCAGGAAAAACTCCATCAAGAATGTAAAACAGTACAGAAAAGATTTGAAGACATGGTATGGAATTAAAAAGGTTAATTGGTAATGCTGTAATGTGATCAAATCTGTTCGGAATTTCTTGAACATTTTAATGCTCAATAGTACATTGTTAAAGAGCTGTTTGGAGATTTAACCCTGTGACCCTCAATTAGTCATTGAGATGTAGACAAGACAGGTTGAGCAAAACTCTATCAAGATTCATGTATCCGTTTACCCCAAAGGGCACATACACCAGTAAGACAGAAATTTTTGACAGACTAAGAAAACCCAGAGCATGCCACTTGAATTGTTAAAAAGATTGAAACTGTCAGAAGAGCTGTCTGTGCCTACTAGACTATCTGAGGCCATGGTACCTGTGTGTACTTCACTGTACCACGTATACTTATTTGACTGTGTGGTACATCAGACCTTTGTAATTTATGTCTAATCTCAGTGTAGTCTTTTCCATTGTTCCTGTGATAGAGGAAATGCATAATCTTTGCTGGTGCCCATAAGAAATATTTCAGCTTTTTTTGCATGAATGTCTCTAAGACCTCCTGTATGTCATTGCCAGTGACACAGAAACGCACATTTAAATACAAGCTCTTGCCATATTCTGCTCAACCTATTATGGCTGCAATTTCACAGATTTATGGGTTCACAAGCTTATTAAATAGAAAAAGGTAGAGGAGATGGGTTAGAAAAAAAAAGCTATTGTTTAAAAAATGTTAACATGCTAAGAAATTCAGAAGACAGGTGACAGCACTTGATATTTTCTTCAATCTGGAAGATGCTCACTAAATGTAAATGAGGTTTGTGCTGCCAAGAGTATTTATTATGAAACAAAAATCTATAACCAAATACAACATATAAATAATCCCAAAAGTCTTCTGATTCATTTCTGTGGAATAGCTTACAGCAGTAGAGCATTGGTGGGTCACAAAAACAAGATGGTACATGAACACATAATATATTTATTATTCCCTATCATACTTCCAATAAAAGTGTTAAGTATTGAGGTCTGCTATATCATACACAAAGTTTGAAATATTGACTGCAACAGATTGATCTAAGAGATCTGGGAACCACATATTACACTTTAACAAGGTACAGATTTAAGAAGAATTTTATGTTCCTTAGTAGATAGTTCTCCCCGAATTGGCCTCCTGTGCTTAGATTAATCTAACTCCCATTTAAGCTTTTCTTGGACCATTAAACCATAGGGATTGCTTTTTCCTGGTATTAACTTCAACAGGAACTACTTATGTGAGGCATTTCAGAGGATACAACCACTAAGAGAAAATGATGGTTTACTTTACAGAAAATTACTCAATTTACTTATTAATTATGAGTGTAGCAAACAGTGCCTAGATTGTTAATTATTTAAGAAACTAGCAATCCCATGAAGCAAAAAAAGAAAAGAAACAACACATCTTTCCAGACTTCTGACAAATGCATTATTCTGGATTTCTGAGTGTTTGTGAAAAACTGCTCAATTCCAAACTGACCAGGACCTTTTGTCTATTTAGGATTTTGTTATGGGTCTCTCAATTTTACTGCGAGGGACAGTACAGGAGAAACTGAACTGGGCTTTCAATTTGTATGATATAAATAAGGACGGATATATAACTAAAGAGGTAAGGTCTTCTTACTTTAGTCACTGAAAGTAAATGTATAGCTAAGTTCTGCTTTCAAAGAAGAATGGTTTCATTGTTAAATTAGACATGTTAACAAATTACCATATATTATGAAGTTAGACATGCTAAAAATTACAGTAGTTTTCTCATTTTAAAGGCATATATGAAAACTGAAAAGGGAATATCTTTACAAAATTTGTAAAAGGTCAGAATTCTTCAGGTACAGAAATGGTTAGCTTCAATTTATGCCTGTCTATTTGCACATACAGACACTAGAATAGACTGATAGGATATTTGGACAAAAAGGAATTAAGTACATGCACAATAGTTGTTACTCATTTTATAAATCTGCTTCTAAAAATTTTTACTTGAAACAGAATTTATATAGAAAGATTTCTACATCTTTTATTCTGCAAGGACTTAAACACATACTTAAATGATAGTGGGACCAAATGAGTGCTTTCATTAAAATCAATAGGCATTTTTAGGTGGGTTTTATGTAAATATATATAAATATATATAAATATATATAAATATATATAAATTACACTTTTAGTTTTACTTTTAGAAAACTTCATGATCACTATAAAAGGGTGAGCTATAGAATAGTTTCCTAGCAAACTGCAAATTACTTGTTTTTATAATTAAAGTTTTCACAAGCCACTCTACTAAGAAAATTCAAAGCTTTTGATATAAAAGGAGGACTGCATAAGTGCAGGTGTGTGCATGGGTGTTTCTGTTTTCTCTAGGCAAAATTCAGTTGTAAGAAGCTGATGTGCTTTGGCTGCTCAGTTGCTGTTACAGAACTTCTTTTCCTGTTTATTTTTACTCATAAGACATTGGGAGATTCTTCCCACAACCAGTGAACTTGTGCATATTCTAAATAATTTAAAATCATAATCATACACTGATGAAAGCTGAACTCAGATGCTAGATTTTCTAGGAACAACACAGTTCCTTCTTGAAGCTGTACAGTCAAAAAATATCAGGCACAATCTCAATATTTTATTCTAAAATGTAAATCCTTAAAGTTATTTACGTGTTCTGAGTTGAAGCAGTGTCTACAATGCACATTACATAAACATCTTTTTTTTTTTCCTCTTCAGGAAATGCTTGATATCATGAAAGCAATATATGATATGATGGGGAAATGCACCTATCCAGTTCTCAAGGAAGATGCACCTAGACAACATGTGGAAACATTTTTCCAGGTAGGTCAGGTAACATAGAAGCCAAAAAGACTGCTCTGTGAGCAGGTAGAGAAAGATTTTCCATGTTATAACAGTTTTGCATATCCTTCCAATTCTGTAATCCTTTTTTTCTCTGTGGTTCTATCCCAAGTTTCTCAGATCTCCTTGTTACACCTTGCTTTTTCAACAATAAGCTTCTTAAGCTTATTCCAGTATATCACTTACTACATCTTTTGTCATGGTTGTTCCTAGGCTGACATATAACTGAAACAAATAATAAAAAGGACTTGTTTTACAAAGGATTTCAGGAGGAAAAATGTACATTTTATTTTTTTTAACAGAAAATGGACAAAAACAAAGATGGCGTAGTTACCATAGATGAATTCATCGAGAGCTGCCAGAAAGTAAGTATTCAGTGATAAGTACTGAATGTGTATCTGTTGGCTAATGCCATCATAGTGCTACACAGAATTCTGGAGTGACAGTGAGGATAATCCTAATACCAGAGACAGCATTTTCCCAAGGTGGAGTATGTATGTATACCATTACACAAAACCACTAAAAGTCTCAATAAATTTCTGCCCTGAATCTGCAGAAGAGCTGGTATATACAAGCTGTTCTTGCTCATTAGACAACCGTGTCAATATCCCTTATCTTTTCAACGTTTTTTTGTACTTGATAGCAAAAATTTTCTTCACATTCAGCTAAATATTTATTTCTATCTTGTGCCCATGCTGGGGCACACAGTCCTGTTACAACTGGCATATAGTCACAGCAATAATAATATTGCCTGAAAATTTATCATCTATAGATGAGTTTCTCAGTGAGTCATGATGTGCTTATAAGCAGTAAGGCCTTGAAAGGAGAGTGCAAAGGCCTTGCTAAGTGTTGGATGGCAAGAGTTAACACCAGGCAAGTTTTCTCAAGGTAAGAGATTGAGAATTGATTGTGATTATCAGCTGCAAGTGTTTACATTACAGCTGGGTAGCTGAAAGCAGCTCCTGGCCTCTAGAGATAGAGCTGAGAATAACTTCTGCAGCAGGAGTTACAGCCTGCTTTCACTCCTCTGCCCTTCAGAAACCAGCTTGTTCTCAGACCAGAAGAGGATATGAGGAAAGATAAGTCGCATTTTCAGAAATTTAAGGAACTCCTGTTATAAGAAGTCATAGTAGTGGTCTACTGATACCTTGTCCAGACTGCTTAATATGAAGCTGACTGAGACCAGCAATATAGTCTGTGCACGTTGATCCTTATCTTTTACACCAAGAAGAGAGTAGTAAAGAGACAGAAGAAAACAAGACTATCAAGATAAATGCATTTAGTGAGGCATAGTTTTTTAACCATTTAGAACAGGGAAAGCTCTAGATGCTCAAAGATTCTCTAGAACCAGTCTATTTTTATATGCATCTGTAGTTATTCATTGGGGTTGCTCTTATAAACACAGCTACCTAGTAAGTGATTCTTTCTTTGATTTTAATCCACTGATTTTGGGGGATGACTGACAGCCAACAGCTCTGCTAACTGTGGCTGTTCAATGTCACCTTAGCAATTGGCATTGCGTAGTGTCTTATCTGTCAGCAGAGCTCTATTGCATTGACCATGGCTCCAGCTTGTCAGTCTTGTTCAATACAAATGAAAGGTATTTGCTCTGCTAACACTGAGTGATCATCAGAAACAGAGATGAGATTCATTTCCCAGCTGAGGTCTGTAGATTCTGGAAGTTAAATGACACATTAATCTGCACCTGGCAGCAATTATGGTGATGGGCTGAGAGATTCATTTACAAAGAAAATAAATACCTTCAGTAAGGAATTGCCTGCTGTCCTAATCCAATGAGATTCAGATTCTCATGACTGTTAGAAGATTTCTTATTTACCTCTTCTAAGTACTCAGAATACATGTGAGAGAGATGCTCTCTAAACTACTACATGATAGAGACACCGTTGTCATCATGCCACTTATCTCACCTTCACTTGCTTTTAACTTCAAAGGTGGTCAGGTGTTTTGATACAGAAAGTGTCTTGCTGCCTAAATTTTTGTCTGCCTACTAAAAACTGTTCTTCTATTAAGACTTCTGAGCTGCAAAGTGTGCAATTCATATTTATATCAAGATTTGGTTTCAGAAATTAGGTTTGGGGTTAGGATTTATAGAATCATAGAACATACTGAGTTGGAAGGGACCCATCAGGACCATCCAGCTCCTGTCCATGGCCCTGCACAGGATCACTCCCAAGAGTAACACCATGTGCCTGAGATTATTGTCCAAACGCTTCTTGAACTGAAGATAGGCTTGGTGCTGTGACCACTTCCCTGAGGAACCTGTTCCAGTGCTTAATCACCCTCTGGGTGAAAAACTTTTTCTTGATCTTAAACCCAACCCTCCCCGACTCAGCTTCATGCCATTTTCTTTTCTGTCACTGGTCACAAGAGTGAAGAGATCATTACCTGCCCCTCTGCTTTCCCTCGTGAGGATGTTGAAGACCACGGTGAGGTCTCAGTCTCCTCTTCCCAAACCAAGTGACCTCAGCCACAGTCATACAGCTTCCTCTCCAGACCCTTAACTATCCTTGTGGCCTTCCTTTGGATGCTCTCTAATAGCTTAATATCTTTCCGATATTGTGGTGCCCAAAACTGCACACAATATTCAAGGTGAGGCCACACCAATGCAGAGCAGAGCGGGACAATCCCCTCCCTTGACTGGCTGGTGATGCTTTGCCTGATGCCCCCCAGGACAGGGTTGGCCCTCCTGGCTGCCAGGGCACTGCTGACTCATATTCAACTTGCTGTTGGTATTTTCAGGATTGCATTTTTCACAAAAGAATATGGCTGCTTCCTTTAAAATGCAGCTGTAGGAAAACCTTTTTTTAATATCCCGATAGATACGAGACTGATCTAAAAAGGTAAGGCCTGAATCTTTAAACAAACCAGAAGTGTGTTCCACCAGGGAAAGGCTGCAGGACCCTTTGAAGGCTATCTCAGGCAAGAGTTGCCGGTTTCTGAGAACTGGCATTCCTCTACTTGGAGTTGGAAGCCAAGTTAGCCTCCTTTCTCTGCTTGGTGGTGGTGGAAGATGGTCTGACTCAGGTATTGCTTCATATCTACAGCAGCACCGTGAAGAACAGAGGCAAAGGACTAAGGCATTCAGGGTCATAGGTGAATGTCAGGGTGAGTGACACAGGTCCTTTTGATAATGATAAAAAGGCTTCTGGGATAGGTATTTTCTCCAGGAGTAAGCCTTGCCATACACAATGCTGATGGTATGGGCTAGCCTGAAAACAACAAAGAAGCCATCTCAAACCTAAGAAAAACTGCCTTAAAGGTAGGTCAGATCTGTCAAAGTTCATTCATCCAGGTTTGTGCTTCATATGGACAATGTTTCATATGCACTAACACCTCCTTATGTCTTGAGTTAGGAATCATTAAACAAATCTGTTATGTGTAGAAAAATGTACTGAAAAAAGAGGCAAGTGAAAAAGATACACTTGCCAAAGAATTCCAATGCAAGCATCTGCTTTTTTTTTTCTTTTTTAAATATGGGAAAAAAAGCTACTAAAACTTACCATATTCTAAATGTTATGACAAGCCTGTATTTTCTTCTGAAGACTCTTCCCATTTGACTGACTAAGGAAGGGGCATTGGAAGTAAAGAAACAGCCAACCTCAGAAATATGGAGCTGATTTTAGAAAACTACCAGTTTCATTCATGATGATACACATATAATAAAATTGGTAGGAAGTGGCAAAACACTTAGGAAATTCAGAGCACATTGTTTGTGTTGCCCATTTGCTGAGCTTAGTTTCCAGTTTATATTAATTAAATGACAAATGATGCCAGTTATACCAAACTTCAACCTTACATTAATCAGTGATCTTGTCTAGTTTATTGATATTTTAAAGCAATGCAGTGGGAAAAAAGTTATTTATTTTAACTTTCAGTAATTTAATATAGTAATTTTACTACACAAATTTTTAAGCATTAATCTACATATTTTTTGAAATTACATATAATTGCTTCCATAAGTTATTTTATCAGTACAAAATAGTGCACAGATCATTTCTTACAGCAACATCACTTGAGATGGCATATGGAATCAAAGATGAAAAACCCCACTGTGCATGTTTCATAACATAAATTAAGCAAATTACTCAAACCAGTCATTTTTACAAAGCAAATCACCCACTAGACTGAACAGTGAATAATTTAACTGGAAATTGATACTGAACACTTATTATGGGAAGAGTTATGTACAGAAGTATCACATCCCTATCAGTAGTGGAGAATACTATGAGATAACCTCTAAGAAGTGGGGTCTTTTAGGCATCTTTCAAGAAACTTAGAAAAATAATTTATCAAATTCAGTCTTTTTATTCACTTGAATTGAACATGTCTAAATTATCTCTCAAGAAAGTGCTAAAGAGTGTGCATTCAGATTAAAATATAGGCTGATTACAGTGAAGACCAGCAAATGCTAAATGAGCATGTAATAAACTCGTGTATTGTGTACATATATTGTTTTGTGCAAGCAACTGTTGATCCAGAAATGCCAATAAATATGGGCTACTGCAAGTAAACTCTTTCTTCTATACACTGAAATGTAAAGCTTACAAAGAAAAATACTGTTTTCCAAGTGCTGTGTTGAGCACTGTGTTGAGAGTTATTTACTGATAAAAACTGGAATACAGAGGGATGCATCACTAAGCATTATGCAAAACTTGGGAGCTGAAGATCTTCTTAAAACATTACCTAATGCAAAGCAATCAGAAAGCAGAAGTAGCATTGGAAAGCAGTGACCATCTTTCAGTGTGAGCACATAGAAAATCTGAACTGAGGAGCTGAAGAGTGTTGTGATACTTGCCAAACTGATTGACTCTTCAGTTCATGCAAAGATGCACACTTCAATCTATTTTATGTTAGAGTTGTCCCTAGCTATGTAGCAGATTGTCCTAATATTGCAAAAAGGCTCCTCTGTACAATGCATAGAAGTAGCAATTCCATGTATGGAGTTGCACTTCAGATACAACTATTCCATGAGTTCCATTGTCTAAATGTACTATTTTATAGTGGGTATAAACTGATAGCCTCTGAAATATTGCAGACTTAATTTTCTTAATATGCTATTGTATCCTTGACAGGGTAGTTTTGGTCTCATTAATATATACAAAAACTTATTTAAGCATAGATCCATTAACAGCCTTTTTCTGCTAACAATTTCTCTAAACAAGCTGAAAGAAAATGTTGTAATTAACTAAAATACAGTTAGTTCTACACCATGGCACTATAGATATTGGCCAGCTAAATTTGTAATGGTGTATGATTTTTGGTTTTGTATTGTCTTTTTTTACAGGATGAGAATATAATGCGATCCATGCAGCTCTTTGAAAATGTGATTTAATGAAGACATTAGGTCTACAACCAATGGACAAATATGAGCTATTCGGCAACATTATCTAAAAGATGGATTTCCCACTTTATCATAAATAAAGTTACTCAGCTTTACACTGAGACATGGATTATGCAAGTAAATTTTTTATTATAAACTCTTCCCAACAAAAAATTCTTTCTAAATTATTAAATTTAGCTCTTCAACAGCGGCTACTTAGTTAACAAGATTGTACTGAAAAAACAAGTTTTTACTCCAAATTCAAACAAACTGACAGTATGCAGCTTTATTATCATTCCAAACCCTAGTTAAAACAGATACAATCACAAGGAGATTAAAAATATATTCTTAGTTTTGCTACTCATTTTTACTGGATTAAACTCCAGGTATTCAAGTGTATTTCTCAAAACTTAGCTTCTAATTTATACAGAGGCACTACCATGTATTTTCCCATTTCTATGGTGTAGTCCTCATTTTTGAATGACACTTAGAGTTAATGCTATAATCAGTGTGCAATGCACATCTTGCTGCAATTGCCTTCCACCTTTGACTTACTTTTCTCTTCCAAAGAAAAAAAAACCCAAACCTAACAAAATTGATAACCTGAGAGGAAGAACTGTTATAGAACAAAAACTCAAACTGCTTATAGGTAGGTTTATTCCGTAAAAAATATGAGTAAGCTTCTATCAATCACACTTACCTAGTAAATCTATCACAACAGGAATACCAGGCGTCCTACATACTGTATTTCTAATTCTTCTCGGATGTGTCTGCAAAGTTCTTAGCTTAAAATTAAGGATCTTCTAACTTCTAATTTTTCATGAAGAAAGCTTAACTGGATCCTAACACTTTTTTCATAAGTATGTGTCTTTTTGCCTTTAATAAATAAAAAGGCATGAACTTCCTTTGAAACTTCCATCCCACTTCAGTGCTGAGAATGAATATCCCTATGTAGTAACATCTACTAATAATGACTGCTAGTCAGGCTAACATCTATTTCAGCTTTTTGTAATATCTGTAACTACGAGACAGAATCAGGAAGAAATGGAAACTTCAGCTATATATCATCTATATGTGATAAATGCATTACATTTTTTTAGGATCATTTCTTCATTAAGATTGGAGCTATTTATTCTGAACCTAGAGAGATTTTTCTAAAAAAGTATGCACCTAAAATATAACAATGCCCCTCCATCCATGTAATTTTTAAGATATATTGTCCACAGAGTTTATGACAATATTTTAAAATAGGTGAAATGCTACCGAGATAGGCCAACCTTCATTGTGACATTGCTGCAGAAAATGTGAATTAATGAAGTAGAAAGAACGTTGCAAGCATTCTTTTGTAAAAATAAATCAGGTATCTATTCTGGTGTAGAGATGGGATGTTACAGGCATGTTGAAGGCTGCTCTGCTATCACCAGTGTAGGATAAGAGTAGTACAATACATGTACACCTGAAATCTGCTGTAGCGTGTTTGTGTAAACTAAATGTGCACATTTTGTAAAAAAAAAAAATAAAGTAAACATGAAGAAAAAAAAGGACCATGATCAATTTTTTTCACTTGTTAAATACTTGTTGGCAAAACTGTTAACTGAAGAAATACAATTAAAAAAAAAAAGAAGCCTAAATACATTTATCTTGACTTAGCACAGTTCTTATCTCAGCAGCAATCATACCACAGTCCTGAGGTAAATTTAATTTAGTCAAGCAGTAGTAATTTTCAAAAAAAAGCTGAAATTGCTTTCACATGACAGACTTTTTTAATACTCTACGCATCAGTATCTTCTGATGACAATAATACCCCTCCCTTCCAACATTATGGAATTATTTTGCAGTCAAGTTCAAATACAATCATGAGCAAATGCTGCAACCTACAAGGCTTGACAGAGAGGTAAGCTGGCATCTAAAATGCTTTTGTTGTTTTTAACTCCTATTTTTTTATAGCTTCCATGTTCAGAAGTTTATTAACTTGTCTAGTCTGGAATTCACAAGCTAGTCCCAAGCATATCTGTGACATTCCTGAACCCAGTGCAAACGGAGCACGGTGTAAATACTCTGAAGTTGCCTCCTACATCCAGCTCCCATTCAGCAGGCCCAAAGCTAACTGGAACTAATTAGCTGAGCAAACCCTAGGCTGTGGATCTGGGGAGCAACCTGATACCTTTGCACTGTATTCTCCGAGCCTTCCCAGCATTTCAAAACAATGTGCTGAGAATGCACTGAGCAAGTTCAGCTTTGCACCATATGCTCCTTGTTTGGTGTGTTCAGCTTCACACCTTGAAAAGCTGACTCTGAAGAACTCTATGAGTGCTCACAGTTTTGTGTCTAAATGCGTCCATCTGTGCCTGTCACAAAATAAGTCATATGTTTCAAAAGCAGGTATAAATATGTCATTTAACACCAAGTTACTTACTATTTAAGTAATTACTGCCAAATTATTTTGCATCACCCAAATATACAAAACACGTTAAGCACTGCAGATATATTAAATGAAATTGTAGTTTATGACAAAATAAGAATCAATATTTACTCTGCTTTTGAAATAACAGCAGGTTAATCAATGTCATCATAAGCACAATGCATATGCAAATATAGAGAAGTCTTCTGTAATTACATATTCTCAAACTGATAAGACTCCCACTCTCCATCATAGTGAAGAATTGTGATTATTTTAAGAGAATATATCATACCCCAAATAAGTGTCAGTGATGTTCACAGGCAGCTTCTTTCCAAACTTCACCTTACAGTACAAATCACTATAGATTTCTTGTTCAAGGGGAGATAGAACAATAGGTTGGAATTTTCGATTTGATGATAGCCACAGTTGGCTGTTGAAGAAAACAAAACAAAGTTAAACAAAATAAGGAGCACTAGCACTATGTATGACAGTATTCATACAGTCTCTATAAATTGCATAATTCACAATGTTTACTTAGTGATCTTTGCTATTATGAAACAGTAGAAAACTAAAAAGTTACTATTTGATGAGAAATTTACTGTCAAAAGGGCTGAAAATAATAAACTGAGAAAATGGACGATTGTGATAACTAATGCTGGAGAGTAAAATTTCAAGAGAAGGGACATGTAAACCCATACATAAAACTGGGCATAAATACAGACATGAAACAATAAGGATTTTTAAACAGAGGAGTAATATTCTAGAAGAGACTTCTAATAAAAGTAAGAATCGTACACTTCATAAGTAATTTAGAATAGAAATTTGATAAATTAATTAATTGGATTATATAATATTGCTCATAATCACAATTTAGGAGTATTTTTAAAAGACACACAGAAAGACCTACTCACAAAAGAACCAGACAACAAGACTGACAGAAGAGTTAGAGTTTAATGACTCACTGGATTAGTTACATCATCTAGACCTAAATTTTCAGAATGTAGAGATGAGAAATCATTTTTCTTTTCTTGTCGCACTTCATATAAATAAAAAACTCTCATCCTCCTTCATTTGTTGTAATGTTTTTCAAGTCTGTAACTGAACACTGCTACTGCCCTTAAATGAATATGAGCACGCACACAAAAAAATGAAGTGATGTCTACTGATTATTTGGGCACCTACTGATTAAGGCACATAAGCTCAGAACTGGTGGACCTCTATTTATGGTCCCTACTCTTCAGGTTATTCCTATTCTTTATGAATGACCATTGAATATATTACACAGAAGCGTTCATAGGGTCAAAAAAGCAAATATTTTCTCTTTTAGATGAAAATCCAAGCCAACACTCCTCACTTTTTCTTCTTTCCTCATTTCTGTACAATATACAGCACAACATAAAATGGCAATGGAATGTTCATCAGAAGAAACCTCTGCCACCTATTACTTAAAGTATATTTTTTGGTTTATAGCAATTATAGATCTAAGCTCTCAGTTAACCAAGGTGAGTTAGAATGTGAGTGTCAGAACTCCTCAGTAAATAACCCAAACAATAAGCTCTTAGGGGGAATGGGCAGGCATCATCAATAATAGCAAAAAGTAACTTCTAGCAAGAGTAAATCCTGTTGAGAAACATTTAGTCTCAGAAAATGGAATACAAAGCATGCATCCCAGGTCTACTGAAGCAAGAACATGGCAAGAAAGACAGAGATAAAAGTTGTTTTGGCAAAATTGCATTCAAATGTCCAGATTACAGTACAATCATCTGATCAACTCACCTTTCCACCATATTGCTCCAACTTTTGTAAAGTAACTGTAACTCTTTCTCTAAATTTCTTGTCCATTAATCTCCTTGATAGCTATTGGAAAAGTAAAATAAAAAGGTTTGTTGCACAATATAGTACAATATATGGAAAAAAAGGTATAGTAAGTCTATTTTGTTACTTTATTTCATCTTTGGAAAATTAAGGATGAAAAGAATGTTAAAGTATGGAACTCAGTCAAGGCAGAGGAATATAAGGTTAACTTAAAAAACCGAATCTATTAGCCAACAAAAATATTTATTTTATTTTTTTCTTTTAACAAACAAATTCGAAAGAAGCACCAACCTTAAAAAAAAGGTCATTCTTAAAGGGCTGTCTACATAAAAAGTTAACACATTTTTCACATGCATTGAGAGATTTATTACAGTGGAAATACTTTAAAAAAAACTGCTGCAATTTCTCTCTTCTGCACTGGATGTCAAAAAAGGTCCTTTTATTTTGCTGTAAAAGTGCACTTTGCAAGCAGGCTAAATGAAACCATGAAAAGCCCGTCTGACAGAGGAAGGATGTCCTCAGAAGGACTCAGTATAACAATACTTCTCATAATTCTACTCTAAGCTTATTTAATGAAAACTTCTTTGAGCGGAATTCTCATCTGAAAGAAGTGGGAATATTTGCTTATGTTAATTTATTGAAACTGTCACAGTTTTGTTAAAATGTTCGCACACAAAATGGAAAACTCATTTGGTAATAAACTTTCCTCCAAAACATAGCATCTATTTCTCCTCGGGCCTATACTTCCATTATTCTCCAGTTTATGTTAACAACAGTTTTTGGACATTGCTAGAACTTTATAAGTCACCATATTATTAAAGAATGAAGGACTCACTCAGAGGAATATATGAAATAGTGCTTTTCATGGAACTGCTGAGTCCTCCGCTGTATCTGTGCAGATATTACAGGAAA